TATATATATATCGAAATTAAATTTACCCTTTTCCAGCGTCTTGCCGTTTAATATCATCGAGCAGGCTCATTATGGAGGGCGTCAGGGTCGGACGAAATACCTGAAGTTGATTAGTCGCGTTCATTTCGGCAAATTTAAAAACAAAATAAAAAGAAGAAATAGGGGCACTCACAGTTACAGCCGCGCATCGCATTTCACGAAGATCAATGTTCCTGAAAAGATCGTGGATCAATAACTCCTCTATGCTGGTAAAATGATGCTCCGATTCCGTGAATATCAATTCGAGAAACCTTAGAACCTGAGATTGAAATATATGAGTATTTATTGGGAGGTGCTCATTTTGTGAATAAATTTTATCCATGCAGTTGTTATCAATTCATACCTGCGGATGCATCTCGATGTCTGATAACTGGACGGGGGATGGTCTGAAGGTACATAATTCATAACCGGCACATATTTCGAATAGCATATGCCCTGATAATATGAAAGATAATTTATATCATTAAATCATCTGTTAATAATATACAAGACGCTCTCTGAAGACAATAAGATTTTTCGTATAATTTATTTTATTAATTGGCGGACATTTCCTTCCTTTTGCAAAAAATATTAAAAATTCATTATTAAATGTATAAAATTAAATACTATAATAAAATAAAATATTACTTTTTATTAAAGAAATATAATGTTGAGCTTGATTAAAAATCGTTTACTAAAATATTTGGCGTTCTTCTGAAATATAATATATATTTTATCAAAAAATATAATATTTAGGAAGAATGTGTGATTGAAAATTATATTAAAATATTTTGCAAAATAACATCGGGAATCTTTAATTAAAATTTTTAATTAAAAATTCTGAATTAATGTATTGCCATATATATGTACCGAAACATATAATGTCGATCGAGGTGGAATGCGTTAATCGGGACGTTACGACGGGATGTATTCGACTGGTGAAGCCTAGAAGACTATTCTCCAGACCGGCCAGTCTTGCTACGCCGTTCTGAATCACCACATTGCCCGAATGGAGATGAGTCACCGTGGGAAAACCTCGTTCCTTCAGGAACACCAACGCTTCCAAAATCTGTCGTCCCATCCGTTGCACCTGTGGTAATGTGAGTCCCTTGCCACGCGCGGCATATTTGTGAATCCATTCTTCGTTCCAGCAGTTTCGTTCGATCTGTCAAACGATATACTCTCCCTAAGGATACACTTTTGTGAAGATAGAGATGCCGAAATTTCTTTGTGTTCTCAGTTAATTGGATATAAAACGCGTCTTTTAATCTTCATAGTATAAATAAAATAAAATAATAAATTACAGAGTCTTTAATGAATTTTAAATAAGTATTTTTAATATTAAAATCTCTTTAAGAGAGAAAAATGAGCATCAGGTCAAAATATCTGAAAATAAAGTTTGTACGCGTTTTTCACTACCCTGTAAAACTTAAATATTTCTGCCCCAAAAATGGGATACTCACGCCATATATTAGATCCTTGAGACTACCCTGGTTGATGGGTTGCACCAGGACAATGTACGTTTGGTCCTCGTACTCGAGAAAATCGACGTGAAAAACGGGACAGATGTAAGGGTGTTGTAAGGCCAGGAACAGATTGTTCAAAATCTCCTTAGTGGAGGGACAGACGGACAGCGGGCAGTTCCGATTCAATGGCATCAAAGTCAGCAATCTGTCCGTCTTCAGGGACGTGTCTCTTACCATGAACCAATATTTGTCCACCCTTGATCCTAAAGGATATCTTAGCAATTCTAACAGCATTTCTTTACAAAAACTTTTCAAAGACATTTCCCGATCACTCAATATAAGAGATAAAAATTAAGTTTCCAAGTATAAAAAAAAATCGCGAGCTTTTATACTTTGACTTGAAAATTTGACTTTATGTTTTTATTTTTTTATTTTCGGAACTTTCTTATATCACTTGTTTCTATTTTATTATTTTTTTTCTTCCTATTCAGCTACGATGGACTCAACAAAGAGCGATCGGTAGAGGCTCACCGATATTATTGAGTTGCTTGATGAGAACGAAACGCGGCGTCTTATCGATGTAGTCCCGGCAGATTGATAAAGCACGATCGCGAGATTTTTTCTCCATTTCCATGTACTCGACCCCGTCCTCGCTGATAGATTTCGACCCATGGTTCAGCGCCGTGTAACGTCCGTTCCTATTGTATAGGTAAAAATTTCATTTAACCATCCCCTTCCGTCTTTTTTATATTATTTTCCATCCGACTTGTCCGAGAAGATAAAACGCAAGGCATCGTGACATTATTTTAATTGTGTCAGGCGATCGGATGAATTATCCTACACATTCTGATCATCCCAGATATAATCTCATGTCAGATTTATATATGATTAGAATCCAGCAGTGTCAATGTATAAAATCTCTTTTAAAAAAACTTTCGTGGTTATTATATTAAAGAGAATAATATAATAAATAAAGAATGTAAAAAAAAGCAGAGTATCTCTCTCTCTCTCTCTCTCTATTTTCTCTTTAAATTTTGTAAAAAAATTAAATTCCATGAGTTCCCTGATTTTTCTAGGGAACAAAAGAAATGAGAATTTCAGGTTTTTCCATGAAGTATAAACACCCTATTAAAATACCTTAAAAAGATACTAAAAATAATTTTTTTGATCAAATAGATACATTTCGTTAATTTTAATTTTTTTTTACTTAAATAAATATATACTTTGTTTCTAAAAATGTTTTGCTATATTAAATAAATTATTAGTTGCATGTAAAATTATAATTTTTTAAATAAATTATTTGATTTTAATATAAAAAAAATATTTATTTAAACATAAAAATTATTTATTAAAATAAAGAAAATCTGTGTTTTTGGAACAAACAGCCAAAAATTAAAAAATGTTTTTTTAAAGAAAGTAATTTAATATAATATAGACAAAAAAATTATTTTTTTAAATTTGCGAATAAAAGCATGCTTTGCTTTTATTTTATATTTTATTAATTCAAATATGTTTGCTGCTTGATTAAAATAACTAATTCCTTTGCAAGTATTTAAATAAATAATTTTTTTCAATAAAAAAAAAAAGTTTTGGATTTAGTATTCTTTTTTTTCAGTGTAATAAAATAACAAATATATTTGTACATTTCTATAATCTGTTTTTTTTTTAATTTTCCAAGATTTTAATAATATTTTTTTAATATCTTGTATGCATTATCATATAAAAAAAGAAACTTTCTACCTGTCGTCGAAAGGTGCAGCGCAGTTTTGTGCTTGCCTGACGGATAATTCCCGTGCATTATCATGCGACCTCCGACCGCAACAAAAGCTGATTAGATTCGCAAGCCACGGATTACGATGCGTGTCACTATCGCGCCACGTTGCTCTATGGCTGCAAGGGGTTTCATCCAATAAAAAGAAAAAAAAAGAAAAAAAAGATCGTCATACAATGACCGTATATCGTCGTGTCCCTAGTAACAAAGTAATATCAAATGACGTCTGATTGATGTTAGAAACATTATTAAGACGTCATTTGACATCACCTTGCTACTTATTGGGATGTAAGTCAATCTTTACATGACGCGAGGGACGGTAATTGAATTAAAAAGATCGCAGAGCGTCCCGGAGCTCTATCGCCGCTGTTCTAAATTATTGGAAAATAAAAAGAAAAAAGATGAAAGGAGACGCACGCGAATTTGTTCGGAAATTGCGAAGAATCAAAAGGGATTCCCTTTGGTGAAAAGATTCCGAAACATTTTGACTTGCACATATGCCTTTCAACGTTTTACCTGCGTGCAGCAACTCGGAAATTTCCGTCTACCCGATGACAATTATCTGTCGCAGATTTTCGATGATTATCCTGACGTGCACAACTCATCACTACTGACCAGACATTTGCATGAAACGGTGTATAATTATGTACGCGATAATAGATTCATGAGAAAGGAAAATTCACGCTCGTATGTCGAGAAGAACTAAATGTTCGAAGCGCTTTCGATGGATCCATCTATAGTTTACAAACAGAAACGAATGCTCGAAGATGTGTATAAATGTATAGCAATTGATTTATAGCGATACAGTGTGATATCATAGTAGGTAATATCAAACATAATACCAGGCAGGATGTCTCTAGAGCACGGTGGGAGGGGGCGGGAGATTATCAATTAAATGCTTGATTATTTGTTGAAGCAACAAAAGCAATAACTGATTCGAAACGGAGAAAAAGAGAGAGAGAGGGAAGAATAGTATATAGTATATACTATTGCTATATGAATAATATATAACCTGAGGTATAATCTCTCTTCTGATAAAGAGATTGTTATATACAGAGTGTCGCAGAATTAGACTAATAAACTTCAGGTGGTTATAAAGGACAGTAAAACAAGCCAATTTTGTCAATAAACCCGTGTCCGTAAATGAGCCATTTTGGCACTAGAGAATCAAAGACTAAGGCTGCGTTCGCAAACATTACCCGTGTGCACACGAGTGTCGTTCTATCTTTGTTATGTACCAAAAGTTAAACAAAGATAGAACGATGCTCGTGTGCACACGGGTGATGTTTCCGAACGCAGCCTAACAGGGGCAAAAGTCTTTGAAAAAAATTATTTTTTCAAAATTTTATTAATGTGGTTAAATAGAGGTGTTTTTACCATGAAACTTTTGTATGAAACATTTTTTGATACCTCGAATAATTTTCGAGATATATGGAGAAAAGCAAAAAGCCGCTCTACATATGAGGGATGATTTCACCCCTTAGAATCATTTTTGGGCCGCAACTGGAAATTTCTGAACTCATCTATTTACCCCTCCTACATATATATAAAGTTTCATCAACATCAGAATTTTGGGTCCGCGAGATTCCATTATTAATCTTTGAGTCTCTAGTGCCAAAACGGCTCATTTGCGGACACGGATTTATTGGCAAAATTGGTTTGTTTTGATGTCCTTTATAACTACCTGAAGTTTGTCGGTTTAATTCTATATATACAGGGTGTTAGAAAAGTCTGGAAACGGTCAAATATCTCGTAAACAATGCATTTTAGAAAAAAATGTTTCAGACAAAAGTTGTATGGTTTCGAGGGGGACATAAGGTGGTGTCCTCAATTTGAGCTTGAATAGTTGCTTGAAGGTCACGTGAAGATCACCTTCAATTTTTTAAATAGAACTGCCTACTTTTTATTGCATATTCGCTTATCTCGAAAGCATTTCTTATCAATATAATAAAGTATTTTTTCATTAAGTACTTTTACAAATCAATTAGTGTAAAGAGAAAAACAAATAATTGTTTAAAAAAATACTTTAGGAATATGATTTTTCGACATTTTGGAACATTCTAAACACATTGGCATAGAAAACTCGAACAAAAAATTGCCACGAGAACAAAGCTTCCTCTATGAGGAAGCAAAAAATATGTTAATTTTAGAATATTCATTATTCTAAATTAGTATCAATTTCTAATATATATCTCTTATACATATATGTATATATTTTCTAGTAATTGTCCAATTTTATTGCTTCCTCATAGAGGAAGCTTTGTTTTCGTAACAAAATTTTTTTTCGAGTTTTCTATGCCGATGTGTTTAGAATGTTCCAAAACGTCGAAAAATCATATTCCTAAAAAATGTCTGTATGTATGTATGTATGTGTGTATGTGTAAAATCCGCATGCTTAAAGCAGCTTAAGCATTGTAAGATAAAATAATGAGGAAGCAATGTGCAAGTTTCTAATTTGCACAACTCTACTTGTTACAACTTTGTGTACTTTCCAATTATCTCCAATTACTTAATTCATAATTTTATAATTTTTTCAAATTTCATAATCCTTAAACTTTTTTCTTATAAAGTTTTATAATTTAATTACTCCGTAATTCTATTTTATATCGTATATAACTTCATCAATCTTTATTATATCATTCATAAATTATGCGTGAGATCCCCCTCGTTATTTTCTCTCTCTTACTTGACATCGCCTTGATCCTTGTATCCTCGTGCCGCCGACACGCGGCTGAAGAGCAACCGCGCCAGATTGTCCAACTTGTTCGCCAGCTGATGACCCTTGTCATCCTCGCTCTCGTTCTCGTCCTCCGTGCTCACGCTTCGACCCCGTCGCAGCGAACCCCGAGCCGAACTCATCGCCCTGGCGTTCAACTCGGTCGCGCTTTGTGTTCTGCGATTGACAGCGCGACGACGGCGACGAGTGCTCGAGTGACCGGTGCGGTGCTGACAGAATCGGTCGTGGCCTGTCACCTCCGACTCGCGATTCCGCTGCCCATCGCCGTCGTCCTTCTTGTTTAGACTCTGATAGAGATTGAACATCTCTCGATTGGCTTCGCGCGAACGCTGTCGCTTATTTTGGTCCCAGCTTTTGGTGTCTGAGATACCGTTGTTCGCCTATCGCGAAGTATCCTGTTAAATTTTATTTCCGCAAAAGAGATACGAATCGAGTTGGGAATTATCAAGCTATTCCGATGCTTTTACGTAAAATTAATTCGTGGATATTTAACGAGATAAAGAGGCTCTCTTATCTGACTGTTCTACATTTTTTTCACAATTTTCTTGCGCGCACGAAACACTAATTATATGGATGATAACGAATACTGATTTGATCTTGATAATAGTTAAATAGGTGTAATATAGATGAGAGATATATTGAGTTCTGCAATTTTTTAGTTTTTCGAAAATTATTCAAAGTTTTCGAAAATCGAATTTTTTCTCAAAAGAAAATTTAAGGGTATGAATGGGAAATTCTTTAAAATTTTATTCTTGCCACTTTCATTTATCTATATGCAATATAGAAGATTACTCAATTTAACTTTCAATGATAATGGAATTTTCTAATAATGGAACATTTTTCGTTATCGTCGTAATGATAAAATTATTCCAACAAAATTAGAAATTGTATCGTACAATATTTTATTAAATGCTAAATATCTGTTAAAGATATTATTTTAATTTTTTTTTACGAGAGTTTGTTAACGTGCGCGTGTGTATACTGCGGTTTATTTAATTTATTAAAAATATAATAAAATATTTTAGAGTGAAACCATTCAATCCAGAGAGTATGATATGTAATATGGTATAGGTATAATAAACTTTTATAAAATTAATTTTAAATTGCAAATTCAAATATCTTTTCTCTCTATTCAAGTATCTTTTTCTTTCAAACAAAATAATTAATTCTCTCTATTAGTTTGTTAAAAAAAGCAACTTTTATATATATGTATTACTGCAATGATAGAGAAAAGATATTTTGATTTTATAATTGTCAGCGTTTACCTTTATAAAGGAAAAGAACGATAAGAAAAAAAAAGCTTTCTTAATTGACTCTCGGGACTCTTCGCCTTCTTCGAGAAAACCGCTTCTTTTGACAGCTTTTTATAAACCGCGGGATTTTTCCTCTGACCTTTCTCGATCTAATTTCACAATCGAAGCAAATTATTGCGAATCAACGAGTCGCGAGAGATACACGCGAATACATTATTAAGCACGGAATCGTTTCGCTATTAATAACACTCTCGAAATTCCAGATCGATATATGAAGCGAATAAACCGCGTCCGCTAAAAACACCTATTATTTGTCTCAAGATATTTTATTTCAAGTTTTCGCGAGGTCGTATATCTTAAAAGCCTATTCGCATAAAGAGAATAATGGTACAAAGAAAAATGGTTTTCAAGAATACCATGCGATCGGATTAGCATTTCTTTTTCATGCAAATCTTGTTATATCTCGTATATCTTATAATTAATTCTCTTTGTACGCGCGTGCTTTGTGTATATAAAATGCTGAGAACGATATGGATTTGAAATGTGTTTATAATAAAACCGCGTCAATATATATAACAGCATTATCAAGAACTATCTTTTATCAAATTAATAATCATTAAGTCTAAGTAATCCGGAAGATATAATATTGATCGCTCAAGATAATTCATATTGCACACATAATTCACGAGTAAACATAATACAAGATATTTCTGTAAACTATAGCATCTGTCGAATTTTCTTTTCCAAAATTAATTATTATTTTTTAATTAAGAATATAGAAAATTAATATTTCATTAATTATAAGATTATTAACTTTATTATTTTTTTCTTTATTTTATTATAACTTTTATTAATTCTATCACATTTAAATTATTGTAGCGCCAAATCAATTTTTTCCTTATCATTCTCAGTGCTTGATATCATCGACTTAATTGATTGTCAATGATTTAATTCGTCACTTACCGTTAAGAAACGTGAATCGCGCCCTTTGATGTTGAATTTTTTCGTGAAATTATTCGACAAAATATCACAGAGGATCGGTTGGTCCTTAGAATCGTTGGTCGATGAAATTCCCGCGCGCGGTACTATCAGAAATGCTTAAAAAAATTACGAAAATACGTATAATAAATATTTTTACATATTAAACTGATAAAAAATCGATTTAATAAGCTCTTATATAATTCTATACCGATCAACCTAATCTACAAAACATTATGCGATATTAATATGGTGGCAATAAAATATGTTACTAAAAATTTATTGAGAATACATTTTTTGTAATAATTCTGTAATTATTCAGGAGAAAATAAAATACTAATTCCATAGTACCGAAATATTGTGAACATCTCTATATGTTACTTGGCAACGAAAGCGTGATATACATAGGAGGGTCGATAAGTCATATACATATTATATTTTTAGGAGAAAATCCTATGCGCGAGAAGAGATATTAATTTTTCAAATAAATTTTTACAAATAAAATAGAGAAAAACAACGAGTATCTCTCATATAAAGGATCTAAAAAGATTTAACGTTGCATTAAGTGTATTTCAAATCATAATCTAAGGAGTGTTTTATCATTTTTAATAAAAGTTCTCTTTTTACTACGTATCTCGCACAATCCACATTTTCGTCTATATATAACAATCTCGTAAAAAGAAAAAAAAAGAATTAAATTTTCTCATCGACAACTAAATCAGGTCGTCGTAACCGGAGGCATCGACAGCGCGACGATCCTCCGATTTTCCCTGGGTCAGGTGCAACGTACCCGAAGTTCGAGTTTTCCGTGCTATCGACCCGTGGGGTCGTCGTGGGCAGTGTACGGGGCGGCGCGCGTGGATTTCCAACACGCGTGATTCCGCCGCGGCGGAATCGCGACCTGAGACGCGGACGACGACGCCGCCGAGCAGCAGCGAGGCTGGATGGACACTGACGGGATTCCGGCGATGGTGGTGTGGTGTGGTCGACCCGGCGCGACACAGATTCCCCGTTCCGCACAACCCCACCTTCCCGCGCTGCTCATCGCCCCCTTCCTCGAGTATTGAGGGTGAGGCGAGGTAAATGGCACGGATATGACATCACAAGAGAAAAACTTGAAATTTTCTTGCCCCTTTTCTCCTGATTGAGCACGAACATAGATGTGATTCAAATCTATGAAACTAATCTTCGATTAATCTGCAACTAAAAAGCGACTTTAATATGCGAAAAATACAAGTTTCTAGAGATGACCCAAATTTAGAAACGTTCTATCTAAATTTTTACAAGTACGAATTATATATTATATGATTTGTTGTAATTCATAAAAAATTTATCATGTTTAAATATTTAATTATTTTATTTAAATATTTTATTCAAGTAAATACGGATATAGGCCGTAATCCCGGGCATGTGCAGTTTTGCGCGCGATTCAGATTAGTCTTTGCTTTTGCTTGAACTTGAAGATTCTAGACAAGCTCTAATCCGTGCAGTTTTAGGGTTGCTTTTCAGGGACGAAAAATCGTAAACAGATCAATCTAGAAGTATATAATGTTATTGTTTAATAACGCACATATCTTTTAACAGAAATAAATATTTTTATATATGAAAGTTACATTGCTTTATCAAATTTTTAATCTGAATACTGTATTTTATATAATATATAATTTTTTGATATCTCTTTCTCTCTATATATCACTCTCTCTCACTCACAGTTTTCTTCCGTAAATTTTTTTAAAAATAAAAATAGGAAAAGGATAGACAATAATCTTGCATTTAAATAATATTTTAGTTTTTTTTTCTCTTAGCAAATGTCCTTACAAATTTTATTTTATGCTTCTTGTTGAATCACAGCTTTATATTGTAATTTCCACTTTTTTGGAGAAATGCCATATATCTGTAATTCATATATACATATTTTCATATATAATTGTTATGTTCCATATAATAAGATAATAGGAAAAAAGATATTATATGACAAATATTAACATTTATTTACATTTGAACAACAACAACAAAAACAAAAATCATGACAAATACAATTTAGTATATCTAATAAAAGAATTAATATTTTTTTTATATACACATATATTATATATCAATGCGGATGCGTGTAAGTATATATAAAAAATTTTTGCAAATATATAATTTGAAACTTACATTTGCCACAAATTGCAAGACGGATCGATAAGTCAACTCATTTTCTGCTCGGGATCCCCATGTATATTCAAATAGTGATGGATCATTCTTATCTACTAATGTTTTCTCAAGATATCTCTCATTTACAAAATCCTGTATGTAAATTGATAGAATTTAAATGTGCACTATTATCTGTATGTGATAAAATTAATAATCATATTATTCTTACTATTGTCACCAATTGTTTCACATCGCCAAAGTATTCATTTTGGAAACTGTTGTTAGTTATGATGTTCAAGTTGCGGAGAAAATTCCATAATATATCTGTGTAAAAATATTTCATAGATAATATTTGCATTTATTAAATCAGATTTCATATCATTGTTATCTATAACAAATAAACAATAAAACTCTCAAATAAAATTTAAATCACCTTCTTGGCATGCTTCGCCATGCATAAAAATGTGAACAAGCACAAGATATAATAGCAACTGCTTACTGCTATTGTGAAAAATGAGATGTGGAAGTTTGTTTTCTACTTCATTTACCAATATGTACCTATTGCTTTCGATTTCTACCAGTTCGAATCCGAATACCTTTCAAATCAATAATTTTTTTACAATTTATAATTTTAAGAATAAAATTTAATAAAAAAAATACTGTTTATATAATTCTCCTATTTCAAAATAGTTTACTCTTCATAGAATAATTATACAATTATACAAATAAGAACATATAATAATAATAATAATAATTTAAAGAAGATAAATATACCTGAGACAATTCCCTGTTCACTTTCTCTATAATTGTACGAAACAATCTGCCATTTCCATTCAGTACATTCTTAATGATTTGAGTCTTTTGTATAGGCTGTTTGCTTTTATCTGCCGCAAACACATATCTTATTATACTGCTAATTAATTGCATTTTCTCTTGTGCTTCCATGTCTTGTGAGCTCATTAATTGTGAAAAATTTCTACTACTTCGTTGCGATGATGCATTAATCTGGCTGCTTGTGCCAGGTTGATCTTGCGATAAAAATATATCATTGCTACTCTCTCTCATGCTTCGAGTAATTTGCGATCTTTTTGTTTGACCTATAAACACAGTAACCATCCATTATATGCGATAAAAATGCTGATGGCAAACATGTTGAAATGTCATTCCATATAACTGGGAAACAAAAGAAAGATTTTATCATACTCGTGTAAGAATTATAAATTCTTCTAAATTATAATTCTCTCTTTCTTTTAGATCTATTTATGCAAAAAAATATAACGTTGTTTTCTTTCCAAAAAAAACCGGAAAAAAACAAAAAAAACGGATATAATAAAAATATAATATCTTACTCATTTTGGCAAGTGTTAAGATTAAACAAATATCACTTTCAAACTAAGTTTCCACGTGGCGTATTTTGCGAAATCTCGAAAGATTTCTAACTCTTTGAGATACCGGACAGCAAAATTCGTTCTGATATAAAATCAAATAGCACGAGACACATGATGCATTGACGCATATGCCGCACAATATTGCTTTGTTTTGAGCAACTGCTTTCCTCTGTAAACAATCACGAAGATAAATCTGTGTAGCTTGGAATATTCGCTATGCATCAACGCCCTCTGAGAAAATATTGCAGAATGGAAAGCTGAAAATTAACGAAGCATAGATGGTAACAGAAATAAAAAATGTTTACATATATATTATAAATAAACAAATAATAGAGTGATTAAAGAAAATCGAAAAATAGAAAGTAGTTGTTAAAAATAAGAAAAAAATTGTTGCTATCGGTATTATATTATCTAGGAT